ATTGGCTTGTACGGACGCCGAACTCGTCCCTGATTCACCATTCAACTTCGACAGATTTGTAATGGTCAGGGAGAGCTGCAAACACATAGTTCCAAGCTGCCAGCATGGATATACATAGGAAACACGCAAATAACTCATCATTGATGTCCCGTCGCATTAGGATGAGATCATGGCGATAGCCCTTCATCTTTGCTATATGGGCATTGATGTCTTCCCCATCATTATATTTGGTGGTGACAAGAGAAGCCATGACAAGTGTCCAATCTGTCACTGTGGTACCCGAGTATAGCCATTTCGCATCTGTCCAGATTTCGGAGGCATGCTGAAGGTGTGCTAATTGGGCCATAACTTCCTCCATCATGCATGAGGTGAGGACCGAGCAGACGAACATGTTCGCTTTGCTCCAACGGACAGGGTGGTGTCTTTCATTGAGTAAGCTGTGTAGTGGCTGTGTGAAGTCTGGGTCTACATAAACGTGTAGCCCAACGGTCTCAAGTGCACGGTATACAGTGCTTGTCCAGGTTGAGTAGTTGGTAGATGTGAGCTTGGGACATAGACAAAGGAGATGGGTCAATGGACTTCTTCAGTGTGAAGTGAGTCTCATCTTCGTCAGATGTGTTTTCATCAATGATGTTTGGACGGTGAGGTGTGGCAGATCGTGAACGCGAGGGCAAATGTGAGTTGTTCATAGTTGGGATTCCAAGGTTTGCGGGTGAATGTGTTGGTTGGTCAAACGTAGTGGGTCCGAGCATTCCAACACGCCCTCAAGGGTCTTCAGTCATGGTTCAAAACACGTGTTATATTGATCTTGGTGATATGCAATGGGTATGGTATATTTCAGGAGTTCACGATGTGCGAGAGTGTCCAATGGGTCTCGATAGCGATATCAGTTCCTGCGTCAAGCAGGGCTCATAACCTAAGAGACGTCACACATCTAAAGAGACAAGGACTTCGTAAGTCCCCAGTCGAGTATGAACAGACTGGGGAAGAAGGGGAAAACGAGACGAGCGAATGTACCTGGAGCGGAGTTACCGTATTTAGTAAGTACGTTGAAGGTAGTGAACGCGACACCAAACAAAAAGAAATATCTATACTACTATGTTGACGGATTGATTTCCAACATACTATCCCTGCTCGTCCTCGGGCTTCATGAGCACCTTCTCGTTCTCTGCCCCGGTATTGGGCTTTCGTATCTTGAGGTTGTCAGCGATTATGAGTGCATCTGCATCGCGGAGTTGGTGCCGTGGTAACAGGGCATCGGTTTTCACAGCAAGAGACGTTCTAGTTAAGAATCCCTGTTTGATATGTAGTGAAAACGCAACGTCATCCTTAGATCCAAACAGTACTAAGAGGTCATGGAGAAAAGACTCGGGAGCGTAGCTATGACCACATGAAACCTGACTTGTTGTTCTTCAAATCGTACAGGCTGATTTCGTAAAACTTGATTCACGAACCTCAGCAGCATCCATAACGTAGGGCTCTTAATTGTGCCGTCTTGATGATTCTCGATGAGCATCGGCAGTTTCCCCAAGGATAACAGGACCTCCAAGATTATTCAATGAGGGGAGCTTATATCGATGTGACAGAAATGTTGGATATGTGCAACAAGGGTGAGGCAGACGGATCACTTACCTGTATAACTCTTTCAATGAATAACCCGCGTCCTCTTGAAGCATATGCACACCTTCTCACCCTCCACCTTGGTTATTGGCCTATCATATCACAAGGATGCCAATAAATGGTTAGTGCGGAATCTGATACAAGACATATCGGACTCAATTTGCAGCGTGCATCCGAAATCGTCACAGCCTGATTTGCAATCCATGATTGATGTGCGGTGAACACAGCGCCATCCCTTGATCAACTACAAACAGAAATGAAAGAGACGAAGGTTCGGGAGTCTTGCGGGCGTTATCCTTATAACCCCAAGAGGCTTTCAAATTATGCCAATAAAATATTGATGATCATGTACTCGATGAGCGCCGGTCAGCTGGCTGCTGATAAGTTTCACCTGTTGGTAATGCCACCAAGTAACACCGGTGGTTTCAGAGTTTTACTTCAGGCAAGATTTTCATCGAAATGAGAATGATAAATTAGCCATTCGTACCTGGAATTTTATCACTGCAACAATGGCAAACTTTCACAAATAGCAAAATGACAAAGCAAAATAACACATTTCGATACCAATCTGAATGTATAATAAGCACCACAACGAGTTTTGAAGTCAAGAAAAAAACAATCTCCTGCTCTGCAGAACACCAGACAACTGTTAACTTCTCCGAATATCTTCCATGCTACACCTCACTGCTAGTTGATATATGCACGCGCTCTTGGAAAGCGAGTGAAGTCATGCCAGTTGCTGCATCGGATTCAGCAACGAGCTCAGCGTGAAATTCTCGAACGCCAAGGATCAGTTGGGGTCCCAACACAAACGACTGCACGACTGTCAAAATTTGAATAATCCCAATACAAATCTGTGCTCCCAGGGACTGTTGGTCCTATAGAAATGATTAACAGTGGTTTCATGCAGAGGTCAGTGGAAGATTGGAATACCGATGAGATTGTCGGAGACAATGTAATGATGAGGCTGAAGCAAGAAACACCAACAAAGCTGGCATATCGATCTTTCAGCTGAAACGGGAACCACATTCACAATATGACCTTACCTCGCAAAGTAAAGCACGTGAGTTTTCATCAACACCGTGAAACAGTCTTTCATAATCCCTCCTGCCGAGTGTTGTCGCAGTTCACGGAAGTGTTTTACCGCAATCCAGGCTGCGAGACACAGTGCGAGGACCTCCCACGCAGCAGAGAATATCCAAGCAATGGAATCCAGAAGTAAGGCATCTTGCGCATAGTCAATCGAGCACTGATAGGTGCCGGAGAGAATGAGTTCCTCTGGTATTCAACAATGAGTCCCATGCATGTTTTTTGTCCAAAATTAAGCGTACCCCCTGAAGCATGTGTCGTCAACATTACAGCTACCACTCCATCGAAAATATTGACAGCCAGGAAGGTGACAGAGAGTAATATTAAGACCTTTCTGGACCGTTGATACATGGCATGCAACCGAGTGATGATGATAGCTTGCAAGATGTTTCAGTCAAGTCAATATCACTGAGTTGTCGCAAGTGCCAAGCTCACCCCACAGCATAGCAAATACCATAACATTCGTCCAATCCCATATTGTGGACATAATCCAGCCTGACGAATCCCGTTAGTGATCAACGTCGAGTAGCATACACTGCAAACAGACTCACATCTGTGGTAGTCGTTAGTAGACAAAAAAGCGAGTAAATAATCATAGTCACTCCTACAGGGCACCACAGTTAATTACAGGGGAATAGTAGGCATCTGTGGTGAAGACTCACTCTATCTGTCAGCGAAACGGTTGGAACACTGACTGTATGCCATTGGTCAGAAGAAGCGAAGACAGCGAATGTACTAAGGAGACATACTCAGCATGTCCATGCTGAGTATGAGAGCTAGATGATTAGCACAACACCAATCGTTTAGCCTTCCGAACATACGCAGCGAATAGGATTCCAAGGTAGCGCACCTAAGATATCTTCAAGTCAGCAAAACATGACAACTGTGAAAGGCAAACTACATACACCAAGATACAGGACTGTCATTAGCGACCAGTGTTGCCTCTGGAATTAAGTGTATCTTCATGTGTGTTCCTCTGACGTGAGACTCTACTCACCCACACCAATTCGACCTATAAAACCATTCTTAGCGAGATAGCTGCTCCAGCCATAGTATTGACATACCTCTTGTCCAAATGTCAGTGCTGAAAATACTTGTAAGATATTAGCGGTCCTTTAGAATTATCATGCTCACCCCAATGATACGTCACTATAACAAAGGAGGCAACTGCGAAACCGCAATCAAAGTTAGATTCAGACATCCAAAGCTTCAACATCCGACTGCTCTCCACGAACGTATAAAATAGCTGCAGACACGAAATGAATCGATCAACGGCCACCAACTGGGGTCGTCTGAGACTATGGTCATACTGTTAGAAGAATGGATGTAAGTAAGAGGCGGACTTGAGCTTGATTGACATGGTATGACAATGACATTCGCGCTATACACCACTATGCAGTGCTTGGATCACCGAAATGAGATGCGCTCCACGTAAATGTCGGGCGTGAAACAGCTGCCTCGGTCATCGGACATAAGGATGCCAAAAATAGTGAGTGCGGGACTGATATGAAGCGCAACACACTCGATTTGCACCAATAGTCACAGCCTAATTCAAGATCCATGATTGAATGTTGATGCGCGGAGAATACAGCACCACCCCTAGATTACAAACAGAAATGTGAGGACATAGGAGAAAAGAAGATCCAGGTGTCGCCTCTACTAGTAGTACGGCTACAGAAAGTTGGCAAGCCATCATAAAAGTTAGAAATGAAGTCGATGCCACAAAGTAATAGTCGACTCACCTCCAGGCTGCAAATGCACACCTCTCAACGTTTACCATTTAATCCCATGCACTACTTTCCTTATTCCACCCAAATCCTCGCTAGTTGCATACCCCACTTCGGAGTTCCATCCTTGAACAGCATCCAGGTAAGATCCATTGCAGCGTTCAAAGTGGTGACGCGGGCGTGACGCGCCTGTGACGCGGCACTGTCACAAATCAACTCGTACGTCATGTCACACCATCTAGATCTAGCTCGAAATGAAATTCTCGTTAATGATCAAACACACGAATGTCCGTCCATCTGCGTACAGGCCTTGGAGTGCTCCATCCACATCAGCAAAACCACTGAAATGAACGCTTAGCTTAAGCGTGTTACGGACACTTACGAACACTTATGACTTCACTAGCGAACTCATGCAATTGGTGGAGATGTTGAATGCAAATATTACTCACCATATCTGGTTGATAAAACTCAAGCCCAGTTATCTTGGATGATAAGATGCGATATGCTCAGATATGCAATACGGTAGATGCGAATACAATTGCTACATGCTGATCAAGCTACTATCTATACAAAGTCGGTACTAAATGTGTGATAACTCTCCTTGTCTGTGAAGCTATTCAAAAAGAAATGTTTGTAGTGTTCTAAGCAAGTTGCAGAGGACACGCCATCAGCCACTGCCTTGCCATAAACTGGTATCAGTTCAACTGCATGCATTACATCTGTTGCTCGTACGACAGCCCCCTCCCTATACCTGTTACCATCTTGATCCTGCATGTATGCGCGCTCCATAGTCCACATAGCAAGTTTGGGACAATCGTCAGGGCTGGAGATGAAGCGGAAGAATTGGACATAGAGAAGTGGGTCGGAGAGATATGATGGCAATTCCAGGTTGGAACCTCATCAAACAATCAGCTGAAAAATCAGCTGAACTTGCATGATGTAACTCGCTGTATATGATATCAGTAGGGCTAGAATACAGGGGAATAGAATTTACATACTCATTTTGCCATTAATGCCCATGGCGTCAATGAGAACAGTGTCACAGTTGCCAAGGGGGAAATCATTGCTTGGTGGGTATGCTTGAACCACCCTGCTTGGCATGACGACATGTTGCTGGAAGGCTGAGTGAAGTTGGAGCTGAAACTTGTTCCACGCCTGATAACACCCATATTTGGGGTCCCAGCAGGTATGTTCACCACTAGACAGCAATGATTGAGCAATGAAGTCAGCGAGGGCATGATTGAAGTTGGGGAGTATATATTTTAAGCATATTTCAGCCGGTGACAGTGACCTGTAGTCTGGAGTGACATTCACTTGGAAAGCAGTCTGCACGTCTCCAGAGAGGATGCCTTTGGGGAAATGATTGTGGACTGGTCAGGGACCATGAACCGACTTGACTTCATCAGGGAGAACTTGGGAAACCCATGAGAGCATGGGGTTAGTAGTCGCAACTTCATCCTCTTCAGCGCACATGGCATTGACCAATGGTGCCCCATGGGAAGTCAACAGTGCGTACAGGTTAAATATCTCCATTGCTTCTTGGTGGTTAAGAATCCACATGCACTGCTCTGTAAAATCTTTGCCCTGCTGGGCTGTCCATTGGAAAAGATCCTTGCAGTGGGTGATGAGCAAGTGCTCCATCATATCAGCTGAAAACTGCATCAAAGTGCCTAATCACTGGACTGTACCCTTGAAGCTTTGTAGTAGTTTGAGTTTGGGGATGAAAAAATTGTCTTTGACACCCCCCTTCCCCTTCCTTGCTTCAGCCTCGATAATAGCGCCCTTGAAAAAGTGGAAGTTGGAAAGAGCCTGCTCCATTGACTGAAGCATTTCAGATGAATGAACTGGATTCTGTGTGAGGTAAATGAATTCTACAATGGCACAGATTGTGCGAATGAATTGGGGTGAAGTGGCACCTGCAATTGAGGCAACAATAGTGCATTGTATGTCTCTGTACTCACAGCCTGTCATTTGCTTGACCTGCATGATACCTTTTGTGAAGTGGTGCGTACTGACTCGTTTGTGCTGGACAATGAAGTGGTTATCAAGCTCATAAGCTCCTACAGCCTCTTTGACCCATTTGAGCGGATGGTCAGCGAAAAATTTAAAGCAGGTATGCAGAATTTCACCAGTGAGGAAGATGGACGGACATGCATAGATCCAATCGTGCCAGTATGGCATGTGAACACAAGACAGGTTGACAGCCTTGGCTGCTTTCTGGACATTATCAAGATCCCAAGGATCAACCTTGTGGGATATTTTGATAAGCTGTTGCAACGTATGCTCCCCAGTACAAGGGGGGTGGAGTGTCCTGTTGCCAAAATCCTCTTGCACTGCCATAGTCACAGGGGATGCATTTTTTGCGACTGTAGTGATCATAGAAGCCTCCAGCAGGTCACATATATGAGCTATGAGTGGTGTAAACACATAATGAATGTATCGGGAGGAGTCAGGCATGAAACACCCATCCAATGCCATGGCCTTGAGGTTGGCAAGCACAAGGTCCATGCATTTATGCCATAGCCATGCCTGGAGAATGCTTTGATAGTCTGAGTGCATGTGGAACTTTGTGATTGGCATGTAGGCAATACATCGCCAAGCTCATAAGGTTGCCTTGGAGCGAACTTCCAAATTGATGTTGCCAATAGTTATGAAGACTGGGTGCATTTCAAGTCCTCTGGTGATTCGCGTTACATGAGTTTTATCAGATCCCAGTATGATTGGCACTTGAGTCGCACCCACAGGGAGATGGTCCTAGAAAATTGTGACGTCAATCTGTGACAGTTAGGGATATATTAGCAGAGTAAGCAAACCTGGATTCTCCATGCCATATCAGCACTCATGTAATCTCCGTATTCATGCTTATTTCCAACATTGACAATGTGCAGAGTATATGTCATATGATTCATGAAGATGGGATCACTAAAGAGTTGTTTGACAACCTCTAGAGCATCGCGCCAAATAAGTTCAATGGGATGGACTGTCTTGTAACCTGAAAATTCCATTTTGGAGACTTTCCACTCCGTGACACATGGGAGTGAGTCCATCCAGTCTAATAGCTGGTCCTTCATATTGAAAGATGGCCTTGCATGAGTGTTAAACTGTCGAGGAACAGTGAGTGTTGTAGACCTAGCTTGTACCATCACTCACCCATTTCAGCTTCAAAAATTTAATCATTTGAGTCTGGGTGAGGTTTTCAACCAAGAACTTTCCCAACTCCCATTCACCTTTGTCATGGAAAGGGTAATAGTGGTTTATTTTCTGCCGATATGCATACAGATCATCCAGCCTATCGAGCATATTTCTACCAATGCCGAAGACATATCCAGCATGCAGATGGCAAGTACCAGTTGCAGGTATTTGGTCACTTCCGCATCAACAGAATACAGGAGGGACGGGTACTGCTTGCGGTTGTGCTTCAGATGGCCAACAAGTAGACTCAGAATTGAGATGCCAAATCAGTGCCTCGGTAGATGGAAAGTCTCACAAGTTGCAGTTAGGGCATAACCTAATGTAAGTGCACATTGATATCATACATCGAGCCTGACAGAATATACTCATATTGCTGATTTTGCCCTCAGGTGTTGCAATTGGATTGACTGGCTGAGGAAACTGTGAAGTCTTTCAAAGTCTGCAGACTATGCATCTCCAGTGTATTGCTTGTATCACCTGCTGTATCGACTGTTGTGTCACTGAGACGACGATGGAATTTGCGCCTTCATCCCCCATCCCCTCTCCTCCTTGATCAAGCAGTCCTGCTCCCACTAACTTGAGCTCTGTGACTTGTGTTGAACCAACTTCCTTTGATCTTTTCAAGACAAAACAGTATCACTCTCCTCATTTAATGACCTCTGAAATAGGCTCTTCTGATGCAGGTTCTCCCCGTGTTTCCCTCTCCCCAGTGGATGAGGTGCCTAAACCTCCTGATACAAGGAAAAGTGTATTATATAAGGTACCTAAGTCTCCAAATGTAAAGTGGAACATATCATACAGGCATCTCAAATCTCCTTTGCATCATGGAAAGCCTAGCCTCAAATCTCCTTCCCAGCATGGAAATCCTCTTAAAGTTGTATCCCCTTCCCATTGTGGACAGTACCTGTGTGAGCGAATGTCAAAGAATTACATTCCATACCCTCTCCGTCAGACTCCACTGGAACTCTGATTTGCAGCTCGTGTTTTAGGGCGAGGATGTAAGCCAGAGTTTACAGCTGAAGAAATTCACGAGGTATGTTTCTCATTCTAAATTACTCCTCAAGAGGTTCATTCATAGGTCAAAAGCGAGAGGACACAATTTGCAAGGGCCTCTCACACTTGAGCTTGGAAACTTTGCATGCGTTATTCAAATCAAAGCTTGCTGGCTGCGAAGCTGCACGTCAATGTCTTGTGACAATGGCATGGGAGCTTGAGGAGTCAGAGCGGTTTACAGCATTCCTGGATAGAGTTCATCGCAAGAACAAAGACTGCCTCCTCTTGAGTGATGAAGAGTTGAAATGGATCAGAAACACTTTTTCTGACCACTCACAAGAACAAATCAATGATGACACAAACTACCTTCAAGCTGTCTATGATGAAGATTGCGAAATTCTTCACACCATCACCGCCCAAGCTGAGTTACTCTCTAGGCACTTAGGCTTAAATGTTAAGGAGGATATATTGGGTTCTATGGGAAAATCTTCTCACTCACCTTGATTCATCAGTAATTCTCATCCATCTTCCGATATAGACAATATTGTGGATGATGACAAATCCAATGATGACAACAACGATGACAACGATGACAATGATAAAGAAGCTGCCGGAACTTCCTAATTTTAGCTATTACTTCAAATCATGGTATATAATTTTCACTTTCAGGTTATTTTACTCACTGATCTATATCATAGTAGATAACCACATGTTGCTCAGATCTCACTGTTCATACATCAGTTCTTGAAATGCCACGCATTTTCCCCCTGTCCATTCAATATGCTTCTTCGCCCTCTGCCCTTTCCCCATGTATTCAAATTTTTGGAAACCCTGCCTTTTACCATCACCATTCAATCCGCTTCTCAATCCACTGTGACCCCTCTTTCAATTTTCCCATAGATCTCCTTATATCGATCACAATGTGTTTCATTTTTCCCAGCCTGTAAGTTGTATAGTGAGTCTGTGTCTCATTATTTCGTGTATGAAATTGAATCAAGTGGCACACATCCTTTTCAGACGTGCAATTTTGTTTACTTATCTTCTTGATCACCATCTTGATGTCAGGTGCACATGGCTCAAAGCGCAAGGGCAAAGCTGCCATCCCCAAGCCAGCTAGGGGATCAGGCCTGAATCCATCTGGTTTGCCAGCTGCTGATCAACTAAATCTTGATGCAGAACAACCCCAAATGGTGCCATTCAACTTTGATCCATATGGACAATCTGTAGGAGGGTGGCAAGGTGAGTGGTTTGAGGGTTGTGTCTATTGATTCACTAATCAGTCACACAGACACACAGCAACAGCTTTATGGGAATGCTGAAGGCCCGTCGTTTTGTCACATGCAGGGCCAAGCACCCACACAAGGGCAGTTGCCATATGACCACACCCAAGGCTCATTACCTTATGGAGACGGAGAGGGTTCAATGTCATATGGAGCGGGTCCATCGTTGTTTGTTCACACACAGGGTTTGTCTTATCAAGATGGAGAGGGCACTTTGTATGGAGATGGAGAGGGTTCAGTGTCATATCGAACAGGCCCGTCGTCGTTCAGTCACGCACAGGGTTCATCTTGTCGAGACAGTCAGAACATATCAGGTGAAGAAGGTTACGACTTCTACAACTACTTCAAGGACATCTCATTTGACTCAGGTCCATCATTTCCCAATTTCCCTCCTGATCACCCTGGACAAACGGTACCTGTGCCTCAGTGGATTGAAGAGGCACCAGACGGAGGTACCAGTATCACAGATTGAAGTGGGGGGCTGTCACCCTGGCTTCAAATTTGACGATGATTCAACAAGGGGAAATTCCTGCCTCAGAAGTGGTACATGTCAGTGTTTTCTTCTTCTTTCGTTCATGAAATTTTGTTTAAAATATATGTGTGCAGATGGCAAGGCCTGCAAGGACGACCCGGGCGCACAGAGATCGATGTGCCAATATGCCTGCAATGCCATACCAGGCATCACAGATCCCCGCCAACACCACCAACACAGACACACACCACTGTCACTGAACTGCACGAGACACCAAATGACCAACGACCTAAAAATGTCATTATACTAACAAAAGAAGTCATCCAGCAATCGATAAAGGACGCCAAAGTGTTGATAACGCGAGTTGTATTCTTGAGGAATGCGATGGTGTACTCTAGAAAGAAAAAGAAGGACATCATCGATAAGGCCATTACTGACTCAGTCCCACAGTTTTATGGGCCAGATGGTGAGTTCATGTATTGTCTAGATTATACACTTTTTTTGTTAATTTTCGCAGCTGTATTCCAGACTTTCATCACAAATGCGCACCATAAACAGGTCGCAAATGCCTTTTCCACTAAACATGGAAAAATGATCAATTTTGCGTGGGATGGTGCTTGCAATGCATTCCAACTTTTGCCCCTGCAAGGACACACCTTACCAGCAGACCAGTATCGCATTGCCAGGGTCAGCCTCATTATTCAGGGCACTGACCCTCTTCTGTTCATGCATGACTTTTATTTCAACGAGGTACATCAAGTGATTCTCAAGTATTACTCAAAGTTTGTATTTACTCACATGTCTTTCTCAGAACAATAATATAATCGTACACACAAGATTCAAGAGCAGATTTGTTACGGCCAATGTGATCAGGTTCATATGGTATTGGAGCAACACATCATTTCTCAACACATCCTCGCTCAAGACTATCAAGAACATCATAGGCATAGCTGGTGCAGCTACATACTGCACATTGTATGAACAAGGAATGGCGCAGTTGGACATAGACCTGTTTGGTGGAAAAGCTCACCATGACAAGTTCAAAGAAATTGTTTGCGCATTCGATGGACTTACTGGTGCAGAGAAGACTGACTTGGAGCAGCATTTCCGGTATATATTAGAAATTGGACCTTTGCAAGCACGAGGCCAGAGCTCGTTGGCATCAGACTCAGAGATGAGTGATTCGATGTAGATAGCGTAGATTATCTAGTACTAGTAACAGATTGTACAGATTCTTATGATAATTGAGCCGATAATACAAGATCTCGCGTCGGACATCTCTTAAGTTGAGTCAGGGTCTAACTTAACCAAAAACGGACGTTACGGACGCTGACCTGAGCTAACTAAGGGCCTGGACAGCTGCCGTTTGTTTCTCAGTTTGTTTCTCAGTTAGTTTCATTTACCACAATATATACAAACAGCAGTGACATAGGGTTTAGTCACACATACTAAGGACTCAATGCCACCTCCACTGGCAGCAAGAGAGCAAATTCACTGGTTCTATGTCCTCCGAATGGCAGCAGCAATGGTTATCCAGCTCATAATAGGTGCTATAATTGTTTACATGACCCCATTTCTCAATAAAGAGCCTTACCATACCTCAATCCTCTCTGGGCATGCATGGGTGCAAGAGCTTGTCAACAGACATCCCAACCAGATCAAAAATGAGCTTGGGATGAGAAAGGTCGTATTTCATGCACTTGTACAGGAACTTCGGGCTTGTGGACTTTGTGATTCAAAGTATATTTCACTTGATGAACAGATTACTATATTTCTCTACACCTGTGTGACTGGGTTATCGAGCCGTCATGTTGCAGAACGCTTCCAGCACTCTCACACGACAATACAAAAGTATGTTCACCTTGCAAAGATATTTGTACTACCAGTAGCCTCACACAGGCCTTATCAGATATTTCAAGAAAGTCCTACTTGCCATATCTTCGGCTCCATTCTACAACAAATTTGTATCCCTTCCACACAACAATGCACCCATACCAAAGGAAATATTGGAAAATTCTAAATTCTTCCCGTACTTTTCAGGTGCACTCGGGGCAATTGATGGTACCCACATTGCATGCTGCCCGTCTGCAGCAGAATGGCAACTATCACAAAACCGCAAAGGTGGTGTCAGCCAAAATTGTCTTGCTTGCTGTTCCTTCGATCTCCAGTTCCAGTATGTCCTCAGTGGTTGGGATGGATCAACATCAGACTCAACACTCTACAATAATGCCTGGCTCACAGACCTATATATTCCAGAAGGGAGATATTATCTCGCAGATGCTGGGTTTGGGATATGCGACTCACTCCTTGTCCCGTACCGAGGTGTTCGGTACCATCTGGCTGAATGGGGGCGAGCTGCAGTTCGGTGAGTGATATACAACTCACTGTAGTGTCTTCTCAACGCTGTGACAGGCCAAAAACATCAAAAGAAATTTATAATCTCCGGCATGCTCAAGCTCGTAATGCTATTGAGAGAATATTCGGGGTGCTCAAGAGGCGGTTCATGATACTGGTACACCCACCAGAGTATAGTATGTCGATGCAAGCTCGCATCCCCCCAGCCCTATGTGCGATCCATAATTTTATTCGCATTCACGATCCGACAGAAATAGAAGAATTTGCCGATGAAGACATTGTTGACTGTGATCCAGGCGAGTCTAGAGGCGACCTTGCAGAGGGACCAGCTGACCGTGAAGAGAGGCAGCGGGCGACTGAAGACAGAGATCATATCGCGGTCGCCATGTGGGAGGACTACCATAGGATTTGTTGCACTCGTCAGAATACGTGAATAGAGACCTACAATACTAGTATTTGAATCTACAGAACCTGCTGGTTAATATGTTTGATTTTTCTATCAACAAAAGACTTCCTTGGACCGTCATCTGTCATGACCATATATGCATCAGCAGCGCTGACGTCCATCTGAAATGCTTCAATGAGCGCTGCCATACTATCATCGTCAAGATGCTTTTCTAGCTCCTGTGCACGTCGCATGGCCACCTGTTTGCGCTGAGGTGACAGTATAATAGATGGGCTTGAAGTGTGTGATTGCGACGAGGCTCGGAAGATGTCACTGAATGCTGAAAATTGGTCATTGATTGTGTAGAGTGCCCCTGCTGATCCGCTAAACTGACAGCGTTTCGATGGTGGACCAGAGCTTGTAGTACCAGATCCAGAGGCAGTGAGGGAGGGTGTTGAAGACCGGGTAGATACGAACTTGCGCTTGACCGTGGTTCTGACAGGAGTCACCTCCCAAGGAATAATATCGTCTTCGTCATCGTCCTCAGCCACTACCTCTCTCTCGGCAACCGTTTTCCCTTTGTCACTGACCATTCCTGCTACTCGCTCCTGGTCCTTGACATACTCATCAACTAACCGCTCTACCTCATCTTCCACAACAGGTTGAGTATCGTTTCCGTTGGCCTGGTCATCGTCAGGGGGTGCTTGTTCAGACTCGAACGTCTCATGTCCAGCATGGAAGGCGTTGGTACCCGCGAGGGCGTTGTGTGCACATGAGTTCGTCCATCTCGTGGAAGTGTTCCCAGCCCTTGTTGCGAAACGGTTTGGTATCAGGACGTGTCTGCAAACTCATAATCATATCAGTACCCCTCTCATATCATAACTGAAGCGCACCTTTGCAAATGCCATCCAACGAGCGGCGTCAGCAGGACCAATATTTGCACCAAGTTCATCATCCCATGAAAAGCCTGATTGAGATTTGATATCGATAATAGCGGCATATTTTTTTTGCACTGTGCAAATTACAATCAGAATATAATCTAGCATGAGCAGAGAACGTACATTGAACCACTTGTTCTTGCATGATTGCCAGTCCCTGCCAGATCCCCCTACATGGTTTTCCTTCGAAACGCCATCTGGTGGCTCCTGCAAATGAGTTGATGCGCCAGTAAAAGTAGACTGTTTGAATCCTGTCCCATCTCCACCTTCAGCACGGTGAGCTATGAGGTATTCGAGAAGGCGGGATGTCTCTTCGACAGTCCAGCGAGCAACTGCTAAAGTCCCGGCATTGTTTGCTGAAGGTACAGTAGTCTTTTTCTTTGCCATAGCAGTGGTAAAGGGAGGTATGAGTGGGCATTTGAGACCGTCACACAAAGGTCACTGTTGGTCACTGTTATGTCACAAGTGCCACGCCACATACAGAAACAAACTGAGAAACAAACTGAGAAACAAACGGCAGCTGTCCAGGCCCTAAAAAGCATATGCACACGAGCATTTTATGAGCGTCGTGTGAGCGCTTTCGAATCAAGTCACATTTGCTGATGCACCAAAGATAGCGAGCAGGACTGTTCTTTGTTTTTGTACAGGGCTGTGGATACGAATGGAATGAATGATGTGGGCGTTGCACGCATAATCTGGAGGCTGCAAGCAGACCCATCTAGATCCACCTGCAGGCTGACTTCTTGTGAAACTGAAGACGACCAAACAATTCATGCCCTGTCGATCTACTCAACATATTTTGTCACCACTGGCAGGTCCTCCAATGTCCTCGCAGTATATATACAGTCTCACACAGCCATTCAACCAACTCCTTCAATACCCTCGAATTCATAATCACTGCGGAATTCTTCGACAGAACTGTGCCCACTCAATTGAATTGACCAGCCGAGTTCGCCAGTGATGCGCGTCCAAGATTCACGCTGTCAAATCAATTTCTCAGCTCACCAGAGTGTGTTGTACATCCACAAAAATATCAATGCAGGTGATTCGCTGTGAGTGGCCTTGAAATTTTTTTACAATCCCTGTCTCAATTTCACAAGCTTTCAGCTCCGGAATACCGTCCCCGCCACCAGTAACAGCTTATCGACCATCCCTTGATACTCCCATCACATATGCATCTTCCCCCGTGCATCCTCAATCTACGTATGCGCCCATCGCTGAGTGGTCTTGTTCCGAGATCTTCTAATCATTCCGTCCGGAATATGGATCCAATGTTGTCATAATGATCTTCCAAGGCCATTATCAATTTCAATTGATTTCATGGCAGCTACCTTCATTAGCACGGAAGCCATGGCTGCGTCTCCGTGAGCAAAACATTTCCAGTACGGGAGAAATGTTCTCTGGATGCGTTTTAATGTACGGTGAACTCCTCTCATATGAAATCCCTGTATGCCTGACATTGACAGTCGTTTCAATTTTCGCTCCAGCGCACTTTGTATCTAGATTGATCGACAGTTCGTCCGCTCAGGAGATTCAGATTCAGGGTTGATGTTACTGAAAGCTAGCGATGATCAGAGGGAAATTTTCTACAGCGTGTTCGTCGTCGCAAGGTGTACCATTCGCTTCTCGGCTCACAGCCATGACCAAAGTTCTTGTGCTAGAGTGTTCATCGTCACCATCTCCCACTCGCCGGTGTTGCTTTGTGCTTGTGAGTGGCTTATCTGGATGGCTCGAAGTGTTTGATATGCTGCGGCATTCACCCTTTAGTATTCGCATTTCATTTCAGCTTCGTTGCAGTCCCGCTTTGAACGCCAGCGGACGCGTGAACAGTGACCACTGAACATTACACGATCACGTTCCCTCATACCATCAGGCCCATCTTCTTAACTGGTATACACTCATCCTTTCCAAAACCAATCGATGCAACCTTGAAGAGGTGCGTGAGGAGGATATCCAGAACCTCGCCTTATGATCACCAAAGCCCGCAGCCGCAGTCAATCTACCCAGGGATCTGTATCGGACGCCCACGATCCACCTGTGTACTACGTCATCATTCAATATTCAATATTCAACGTTCGCTAGCCGGTTTACGCGTGTGCACTAGCATGCTTTTTCATGCTTCATCGGCACAGACGTGGACTCCAGGATGAGAAGCAAGAGCGAGTTGAAACTTGCACCTTAACGTTCCTGCGACATTGCTTATAAACATCTCTCGCTCCTCGACCTTCCCGTTCAGTACACTTCATTAGTGCAGTAGGGATATCCAGGATATTGGTTGAAACATCCTCAATGTCAGGACTTGTAGCGAATGATTTGAAAACATACTACGACGAAAATATTGCCCAAACCTATGTCTCTTCTAAATCTACTTCGGGACGCTAAATAACTAAATAAGTACCGCAACGAGGCTTGGAAAAAAAGAATTCCTGCTCCCTACAAAGCACCAGATAACCGTTAACACCTCCCGTGTTACACACCATTGCCAGTCGATATATGCACACGCTCCTGGAAAGCGATTGAGGTCATGCCAGGTGCTGCGTCGGAGTTGGCCACGAGCTTAGCGTGATATTCTCTAACACCAAGGATCAGGCGTGGTCCCAGCACAAACATCTGCACTACCCTCACAACCTGAAGAAATCCATAAACGCCCACAGAATAATTCTGTAGCAAGAATGAACCATGGTCGTATGCAGAGGTCAGTGACAGATCGACATACCGCTGGGGTTGGAGAAAAATTAATGATGAGCTGGACGCAAGAAACAGCAACAAAGCTACCACGTCCGATCCCTCAGTGGAAAAAGGGAAAAATAATTACAATATGAGCTCACCTCGCAAAGTAAAGCATGTGGGTTTTAATCAACACCGTGAAACAATCCCCAACAATCCCTCCCGCCGAATGTTGTCGCAGTTCACGGAAGTGTTTTACTGCAATCCAGACTGCAAGACACATTGCGAGGACCTCCCACACAGCGGAGAGTATCCAAGTAATGGAACCCAGAAGTAGGACATCTTCCGCATAGCCATCCAAGCACTGATAGGTGCCGGAGAGGACGACTTCCCCTGGAATTAGTCGATGAGATGCATATTTTTTGACATCCACAATTAAGCGTACCCCCTGAAGGATGCATCGTTGTCATTAAGGCGACCACTCCATTGAAAATGTTGTCGGCCAGAAAGTTGACAATAAGAAATATCAGGACCTTTCTGGATCGTTGGTACATGGCATGTAACCGAGTGATGATGATGACTTGCAGCATATTTCAGTCGAGTCAAATACCACTGAGTTCTTGAGCTCACCCCACAGCATCGGAAATACCAAAACATTCGTCCAAGTCCATGCGACGAACAGAATCCAACCTGAGGAATCCAGTCAGTGATCGGCCTCGGGAAGCATACCCTCCAAACAGACTCACATCTGAGGCAGTCATTAGTGGACCAAGAAGTTAGTAAAGAATTATACTCACTCCTACAGGGCATCACGGTTAATTGGAGGGGAATGGCAGGCATCTGTGCAGAAGACTCGCTCTATCTGCCAGAGAGATGGTCGTAACGCTGCCTGTATGCCGTGTGTCAGAAGAAGTAAAGGCAGTGAGTGATGTACTAAGGAGACATACCCGGCACGTCGAGGCTAATTATGAGAGATTATTAGCGCGATACCGATTGTTTAACCTTCCAAACATACGCAGCGTATAAGATTCCAAGGTAGCGCACCTAGGATACCTTCAAGTCAGCACAACATGACAACCGCGACAAACAAGCTGCATACACCAAGATACAGTACTGTCATTAGGGACCATCGTTGCCTCTGGAATGAAGCGTATTTTCAATTGTGTTCCTCTGACATGAGACTCTACTCACCCAGACCAGTTCGACCTGTAAAACCAAATATTCTTAGCAAAACGGCTGCCCGAGCCATAGCATCAACATACCTCTTGTCCTAATGTAAGTGCTGGAAATACTTGTAGGCTATCAGCAGTTCCTAGATATGATCATGCTCACCCCAATCATACGTCACTCCAACAAAGGCGGCAACTGCGAAACCGCAATCAAGGTTAGATTGAGACATCGGCATCAACATCCGACTGTTCTCCACGAACCTACAAAATAGCTTGCAACACGATCCGAATCAATGGCCGGCCACCATATGGGATCATTTGAGATGATGGTCATATTGGTAGAGAATTGGGGTGGGTGAACGGCGAACTTGGTGGCCGTATGACGATGGCGTTCGTACTGGATATAAATACGGTATAACATAGTGTCGCTCGAATGAAACAAAGTAGATTGCAAAGCAGTCACGCACGCGGAATGTCCGGAAATGATCGAAGAGCTGTCCAATGCCATCCCTAGAATACAGAGAGGGACTAGCAACAAGCGCACCACAGTGTAAGCCTACTACGTCACAGCTACGTCACGGACGCATCCTGTACCGCGCGCTTATTTGTTCACTGTTTGAACTCTCAACGCACGGAACTTGAAGATCTATCTCTTTCTTTCCGTACCATCAATCATACGCTCTTCCATGTATCTGCTTGCCGTCGACGTGACGGCCTTCCACACAGCCTTGAATTTTACAGGCTCATGCGATGACTGATGGTGTTCTCGATTAGCGCCAACCGGTCTAGTCCCATCTTGCTGGCACGTCATGAGACATGAAAAAATAAAATAACAGCACTTACTAGTCAACTCACATCTCTCCAATGCACACTCTCAACGTTGCAACGTTCAACGTTTACTTTGCAAATTGAGTGAAACACCTAGATCAGATCAATCGGGACTGAAAATACCAAGTTTGCAAAATGTATCACTACCAAGCTGCTATACATAGACTCAAAGACGGTACCAATGTATTTGTCTGACTGCGCTTCAGGCAAGTCTAAGAAGATACATCGAAACACTTACTTACCCGGAAGACTTGCACATCTGCGCCCATTTCCTTCATCGGCTCCGCGATAACCTACAACTCCCGTAACAGCCGGATCTTCCAGCAAGGCGAAGAGATTGCAGAACGTCTACGCACTTTGATTTGCCACCGTTTTTAGCCCTCATTTGTGCGACTGTAAACTTGGGGTTGGGGAAAGACAGAAAGACCTTCTGAGCATCCTTGAGATGGACGTAAATCCGCTCGTCCTCCTCAAACCACGCATCAGTAGCTGAAACTTCAATCTAGAGGAGCCCAACTAAATCCTTTGCGCCACTCGCTCGATCTGTGGTCGCAGCGTCCCTTCCCTTGCGTTTACTGACGACTAAGTTATAAACCTTCGTTCCACGCTCTTCGTTAGAAGGAAATTCACAGAGGAGTGTTCAGGTCAGATGTGGGGATGTATAGTGGGTGTGAATAATTATCCATAGTTCTGTCCAAGTATTTCGGGTCCACATTTAGAGTGACACGATCACGTGCGTGTGTACATTTAATATGTCGCGACTGTGATTCGCGTCTTGTCTTGCTCTTCTTAACTTCTTCTGCGTACTTATCGTCATCGACGACACCGGGCATATTCACCGCAAATTGAAACATGACCGATGCTGCAGATGACTGGGTTGTCGCTGACAGCGAGGACGAAGACTCCTTACGACCTCTTCAAATTGCTGACCAGAGCGGCCTTTTGAGCGGAAACCCGTTTTCTACAGACCCAGAAAGGATACTACAGCGTCAGGAATACTTCAAGCTTCGTGTTCTGTACCGTATGCTAACCGGGCATGATTTTACAGCGTCACTCATTCAGACCGCCTCATTTATTACCAGTCAAGCGCGAACTCCCCAGCGAGGACGTGAACCTCTCGACATAAGTAATGCATCTCTGTTTACGCCACCTGCAGGGTACCAAGACTCTGACCCACCAAATATTTCTCCGTCACTCCCTCGTGGCGCGGGAACACCTGTACCGAAGTCTAAACCACGTCCACGTCCCGTGCCACGAAAGTCTCGAACTACGAGCACCATATATGATGACTTCATCAAAGACGATGAATTTCGTTCCTCTGGCTCACTCATCAGTTCTGCATCTGCAGTCCCAGCTAGTACCTTGGCTGCAGATAGCATCCGCCCTCCAACCTCATCGTCTGCTGTCTCAGAACTCATCGAGGAAGTCGATCCTGCATTTAGCATTGCTGACCGAGCCAAGACGCGCACTCGGAAGACTCAGGTTAAGAAGCCGACTTACGTGTCTGTCAACCATGATGTGATAGAGTTAACATCGGAGTCCGACCTCGACGAACTATCCCTCAAGCCTCCACGGAAGCAGCAGAAGTCCCAAGACAAGCCCGTCAAACCCAAGCCGAAACCCAAGCCTAAAGCTAGGACATTGCCTTCACCCAAGGTCACTAAACAAAGCATTATCGATACTCAGCCGAGCGACGTTATTCTTCCCGCACCGCAAGAACCAGCGCTTCCGTCCCAACTACCTTCTACAATATCACGCCTCCCGTCTTCTCTTCCTCCTTCACCCGACTTGTCTTCTCCGCCCTCTTCTCCACCTGTGATAACTCACAAACGGAAGAGGGCTCCCCCGCTTGAGTTAAAGGTTCATGACGATAAAACTGATGTAGATATGCCCGGCGTTTCACCATCTTCTATGATAACACCTCTATTCTCTGCGCAATTGTCGCCCGTCGTCCCACCAATCGATAACTCGCACACACTTGAAAAAGCCAACGAGGAGGCAGATACCATCGTTGCTGCGAGCAAGGGTAAGAAAAAGGGCACGAAGTCGTCTTCCCGGGCGAAGGGGAAGAAAAAAGGTCGGAAACAGGCTGACGAAGTCGAGCTCGACGATCTTGCGCACAAATTGCCCCCGGATCAGCCAGCTGCAGGCATTAGTGCTCTCGAGGATGACGATTTCGTTGAAGAGGCACCGAAAGTTACCTCGAAGAAGAAGGCACTACCAAAACCCACCCCCGCTACGAAATCGAAATCGAAACCTAAGGGAAAAGGCAAAGGGAAAGTAGTTCTCTCGGAAAGTGAGAATGAGGACGACTACGACCCTCCTTGTTCGAGGTCACCCAACCAAGGCAGCCATTTGCCCGAAGACGAAGCCTGTCAAGGCGACAGTCCCAAGAAGGATTCTGTCATGGCAGCCCCTGAGATAACCAAGGTGCTTCATTTCCATACCCTTTGATATCCTTGCTTACATTCTCCCCAGAAGCTTCCCCTGCAAAGCGTAGCTGCCTCACCAAAGCAGACTTTGGCCACTCTCAAGTCACGTGCCTTCACTGTCAAATCCAAGTCGACCCCAATGTCAGAACTCATCCGGCGTGTTAACTCACAGCCAAATTCACCGTTCTTAAACGGCCCTTCCTATTCGCCATTGGTGAAATCTTCGCGAACGATGCTTTCGCGGATCGCACCGCTCCACCCCAACCGACGGACCCCTCCACCACCATTACCGAGACCGCCCCCGCCGAAGAAGAGCAAGAAGCAAATAGAGATGGAGGAGCGTATCGAGGAGGAGTTGTCAGAGACTGTTGAGGGGTGGTCGTGTATGACTGACGAGGAGAGGAGGAATTTGCGGAGGGCGCGAATTGATGCTGAGTTGGGATATGAATGATTCCGAGTTGTGTATTCTTATTCATTATCATGCCGCTTGATTTTTTATTGCTATGTATTGTGCAACTTTATGGATAGCTTGTAATAACCTTGCTATCGAGATGTCTCGCTCGCTCAATGGCCCGGGAGACTCATACTAACTCTCAGTGATGCGTGCAGTTGTCCGGTCGCGGTTCGACCGGCTGGCTGGGCCGGCGACTTGCCCAATGGTTCAAGCTTGCAAGAATGACTTGGCGACAAATTGTCAATGTCAATGTTTCGAACATCAAAAAGTCGGGCTTCATCCTCTGCATCAATTTCAGCTCGGAGTACGTTCAATGTCCAAATGCCAAACCGTATGGGGGAGAAAGTCGGGGATCGGCGAGAGGATAGCCTCTATTTCTCTCTACCATCATCGCCGTTGTAAGCGTTGCTACTATTATATACTTATATTGTGAGAACTCACGAGAGTCTGTCTAGATACTACTGCTCTTCTGAGTTACTGATGTGGCGGCCTGCTCGGCCATGGCGCCATACTGTACTAGCCAGGTATATCGTGCGTACTTTGAAGCTATCTGAGTCTTATTTTATCCTCCCGTTTCTATGTCAGTCACGGTGGGGCCCGGGTGATGATTATCCCAGTGGCTGAATCAAAAAATGATGGTATCATCACCGACTGCGCGTACAATGATTGAATTTGAATGCAGTGCGTGTCTTGTCACTACACAGCTTCGCAATACGCTTGCCCAGGTTTGGTATCCTTAGATGCGAACAACCCGATGACCGGCGAAGGTGACTTTGAATCACGACTCAGGTCTCCAGGAGGAATATGAGAGGTGTGCACTGCTTCGAGTTGGAGTGGGTGTTGGCAGCCCAGGTTAGACAAGTGAGTTGTCTATTTTCTCCCTTTGGACCTCCCTACATTTCATTTCCGAATATTTAGGTGACATTTTGACAGACTTTGCGCGTGTTCCATGCCCGGGGAAACCGTCAGCTGCTAAGCGGGGTGGCAAGACATTCATACTTGTCGATGATGATTAGAATGGGAGGAATTCTCGATGATCCCTCATACTTCCGCGTGCAATCGTATAACGAGAATCCTTATCTGATGGATCATAGAAAAGTGGAAGAATAAGAATATCTCGCGAATCGTATTTCGGAATAAGTTACCACGCTCACCGTCGGATCCACCAACAGTACTAGTGCAGTGCATTTGATTGTGTTTCGCAACCAACTTTGATTCGATCAAAGACCCCTGGACCGACTTCCTCTGTCTAGTTGACTCCATGCGACATTACGTGCTTCTGTCAATTAAGACAGCACCTAGGCTGTAACATAAACCACTGCATGATGGTATATTATCCAACGGAGCACGAGTACAATCGTACACATCCGCCAACTCGTTCGCTACTCCCTCACCATCATCAAGCAGTATGACCTTAGTCTCAAACGATCCCAGTTGGTGGCCATCCATCAATTCGTATCGTATCGCCAGCTACTTTATAGGTTCGTGAGAGCCAATGGGGCAGTGCTTGTTGATCTAATCTTTTTGTAGTTGCTGCCTCCGCTGGAGTGATGTACGATTGGGGTGAGCAAGATAGTATCAAAGAACCACTAACGTCCTCATCGCAATCCCAGCATTGACATTCGGACGTGAGGTAGGTTTGTGCCATTACCGGAGCAGCTATGTCGCTAAGGATGGTTCAATAGGTTGAACTGATTTGGGTGAGCAGAGTCCCATGTCATAAAAACCAATAATTGATTTGCGGCAGAAGCAACACTGGTCCCTCATGACTGGGTTGTATCTCAGTGTATGTAGCTTGTGTGATGGGTGTGGTTGGCAAGTTGTACTGACTTGAAAATTCCTAGGCGCGCTATCTTGGAATAATATACACGGCGTATGTTTGGAATGCTAAGTGTTTGTTTGGTGCTGCTAATTAATCACATCTCATATCAGCATCGGCTTGCTGAGTATGTCTCTTCACACACACCGCCGTGTCTATTTCGTCTGACCAGTGGCATACAGTATATGTTCCAACAATCTCGCTGACAGATGCAGTGAGTGTTCCGCATCGATGCTGGTCATTCCCGTCTAATCAGCTGCATTATCATATAGGGGTAAGTGCTTTAGCGTCTCCTTGGTTCCGTACAATGACTCCCACAGTTGTGAGTTTGAGTGGAGTATGTGGTCTTCCGAGGCTGATTACAAACTGGTTTTGCCAGGCCATATTGTGTACGTCACGTCAAATTCAATGATCACAGTCGTAAATGCAATACTAGGCGGTGAGCTAGCTATTCATCAGTAATATTGACTTGGCTGAAACACTGTGCAAGTCATCATGATCGCTCGGTTGCATGCCATGTATCAGTGCAAAAAGATACTGATATTTCTTTCCGCCATCCTCCTGGCTGTCACTATTGCCAATGGAGTGACCATAACAATGATAACGATGGATATGTCAGAGGGTAAGCTGTAATCACGGATGAAAGACTAAATGCACCAGGCTCACTGATGAATAACAGAGGAGCTTGTTCTCTCCGGCACCTACCAGTGCTCTGTTGACTTTGGGGACAACGCAGATCTCTCTTATTTCATCTATTGGTCATTCACCACTGCATGGGAGGTCCTCGCACTTTGTCTCGCAATATGGATTGCTGTAAAACACTTCCGTGAACTAAAACGACCATCAACCGGGTGGATTGTCAGGGACTGTTTCACGGCCTTAACGAAGAGTCACTTACTTTACTTCGTGGGGTGAGCTCATAATGTGAATTGGATTCTCTTTTTCCGCTGAAGTTTTGCATATGCTAGCTTTGTTGCTGTCTCTTGTCTCAATTTCGGTTATTTGTCTCCAGCTATCTCAGCGGTATGTCAATCTGTCTGACTTCTGCATGCAACCTCAGTTCATCGATCTTATAGAACCCATTTTCACTCGAAAGCCAGATTTATCCGGGTCTCACTCAGATTGTCTTGCTTGTCCAGTTGTTTGTGCTGGGACCACGCTTGATACTCAGTGTGCGAGAATATCACGCTAAGAGCGTGGCTAACTCTGATGCAGCAACCGGCATGACCTTAGTTTATTTCCAGGAGCGCGTGCATGTGTCAACTAGTAGTAGTGTGTAACATGGGAAGGGTTCGTTTTGATCTATACTACAATGCCGGGTACTCTGCAGGGAACCAGAGGCTTGGTTTTTATACTACGTTCCATCGTAATGCTTATACATAATATATGTCGCGGTTTGGATAGGCAAGGACGAAAGATACCTTATGTGGTGGCAAGAGTAAATTAAAAGTGCATCCTAAATGGCGACAAGATAATCAATAATCCTCTGTGAGCATGATCCAGACCTTCCAGTTCAAAGCACTGCTTTTGCCTCTTCTTACTGACCATTTTTTCTCTTCAGAATGATCAGCGCTCGAGACTTTGATCCTATCATTCAAGTTTTTGTTCGAACCACTTCGCTATTGTGTCAATAATGCAGGATATCAATTTAAACATTGCCAGCATGTATGTATAGCAAACCACTTGACTATTAATACTACGATGAAAATTTTGCCCAAACCTATGTCTCCTTGAATTCTGCTTCAAAGTACCAAATAACTTAGATCAAAACTATCACGAAAGTGGGAATATATAATAGTAAATTCCCTTGCTCCTTGCAGGGCACTAGACAACCGTTAACTTCGCCGAATATTACACACCACCGCCAGTCGATATATCCACACGCTCTTGGAAAGCAATTGAGGTCATGCCAGTTGCTGCGTCGGAGTCGGCCACGAGCTTAGCGTGATATTCTCGAACGCCAAGGATCAGGCGTGGTGCCAACACAAAAGACTGCACAGCCGTAAAAATCTGGAGCAAACCATAATAAATCTCGGTTTCCAAGGAAGACTGATCCTATAGAAATGATGCATTGTGATCGCATGCAGAGACCAGTGAAAGATTAACATACCATCGAGAGTGTTGCAGAGAAAATAAAAAGGAGCTGGAAGCAAGAAACAGCAACAAAGCTACCATGTCCGGCTCTTGAGTGGCAAAATGGGAACGATAATCACAATATGAGCTCATCTCGCAAAGTAAAGCGCGTGAGTTTTCATCAACACCGTGAAACAGTCCCCTATAATCCTTCCTGCAGAATGTTGTCGCAGTTCACGAAAGTGTGTTACCGCAATCCAGACTGCGAGATACAATGCGAGGACCTCCCACACAGTGCCGAGTATCCAAGTAATGGGACCTAGAAGTAGGACATCTTCCGGGCAGTCAATCGAGCACTGATAGATGCCGGAGAGAATGAGTTCCTCTGGTAATCATAAGTGAGATGCATAAATTGGCAGTGAGTTATGTTTCTGCTTTCACATCCGTGCGGTATGGTTGATGACATGACGCGTGGAGCGATGGGATGCTCGACCGTTGGGGTGGGATAAGGACTTTGGTGGCGGCAGATGCGAAATTGATCATGCAGTGGCGATAATATTTAATTTCTTTGGAGAGGTCGATGGAGATTCAGAATTCTTGTAGAGTTAGGGCCCTTGCAAGTTAACAGATTGTACAGAGCCAGTTCTTTATGGCTTGACTTAGAGAAAATAGTCGAAAAAGGACGGGATGCTCACTGTCGATCTAGATTTGCTGTGGCAAAGTTGTCGAGCGGCCGTATAATTCATCAAGTGGCCTCTGTTTGACTTTGAAAGAGCGGGATGCCATGGGGCCTAAGTACTTATCTCAAGTTGGAGCACCGGGATGCTTGCATGCAATTAATGTCGCGCTAGTGGGAATTTGTGTATATCAAGAGGCGGGATGCTGGTTGGTTGGTCGGTTTGTGAAGTGGCAGTTGTGCATGGGAACAAGAATGAACAAGCAGCCTGAGGCACGGCGCGGGCAAATGAATGAATAGATTAGAGACTATCTACGCTGTCGCTCACGTAAGCTCAGGTATGTAAGCTGACGGCGATCACGTGTGAGGTAAGTTGCGAGCTCAACTTGAACA